TTGCATCGTATTTCAATATAAGTCATAGCACTGTTAGAGAAGATGTGAACTTCATATCTTAACAAGAAAGCTATAGAAACCCAAACCCTTTTAGGGTTTTTCTAGTCTCACTAGCACCTACATATGGGCAAAATATCACGTCAAAAGCGGAACTTCATCTGGGAGTGTTCCCTCGTAAGTGTTCTCTTCATCCACATCCTTATCATATATTGTTGAAACAAAAGAAATAAATATAAAATTTATACGATTCTAGCTTATCCCTTGATTCAAGTTCTTTCCGTATTTCATCTTTGTTTGAATCCTTTATCTTTAACTAAACAATAAATTATATAATTTCGACATTTCAGTAAGACGATATTTTTGTCTTTCGATTTGCGACATTTTTCTTTTTGATCAAAATAAAGTTGACCCTATCACGATCTACAGGCAGCGAGTCAAAATTTCTACTATTATATTTTCATACTTCTTTTAGATCGTGATTCATAAAAACTACTAATCTCGTACTACATCGTATGAATCCTATTTTAAATCATTATTATAGAATGTCATACATATCTGACGTTGTTCTAAATAATTCATTGTATCTTTCATCATATCAGGTACTAAATATAAAAGCAAAAATTACATAGAAAAAAAAAAATAATAAAACGAACTTTTATTAATTTACATCGATCAACTTCTTCATAAGTAGGAATAATAACGGAAAGATATTTCGAAGATGAATCATTGATAGATGGAAATTGTTTTCGATATTTTTTTATTGGATCTTGAAAATATTTTTCATTTTCACTTCGAGATACCATATTAAATGAATATAAAAGACAAATAATCTTTCAAAAGAAAATAGGTTTTTTTTTTTATTTAAATTAAATTTGATTAATTACACTAAGGACAATAACTCCAAGAATTATAAGATTAAATAGAGCTAAAATCAATTGTTCAATTATCTGAAAAACAAAAACAAATGATGTTATATTCTTTTTATTTATTTATTTATTTATTTATTGTTTGTTTAATCAAATAAATTTTGATCAGGATCTGCTTGAACAAAAACATTTTCAAATCGATACAGATCATTATTATCATTCCAACAATTAGATGAACATGTGTAAACAAAAACAGTACCAAATTCAAGACCTATAAAACCCAATATATAAAGACATTTTCTTTTTTTTGAAAAAAAAAGATCAATTTTCAAACCTATTTGATTATCTATTTTAAGAAAATTAACAAGTGCTGGCATCAATTGAAATTCAAAAACGCATGATGATTGACAATAACGACATTTTTGAATAGTTGATAAAGTATTTCCATCGAGTTTTGTCAATATCAGTGGATTACCAGACCAATCATATCTTTCAAATAAACATGTAGTTTTATAAATATATTATATTTATAAAAACAATCCAACTGAACATGAAAATTTTCTTTAAGTATGATTCACTTAAAGTTAGATTAGTTTTAAATGTACGAAAAGAGAACCATCGTTCTAAAGAGTCAATATTCACCATTAGCTTGTCATCCACCCTCATTATCAGCCAAATATCTCATTTCAACCTAATTTCTCTCGTTTGATGATAAAATTTATAATAGGATTTATAGAAAAATCCTATAAAAATAAATCTGAAATGCTGTTATTATCGTGCTGAATTGTTTGTTCGTTTTACTCAAAAACACGAGTCTTACAATATGAACTTTTTGCATGCAACGAACTCAGTGTTTATTCTGTTCAGAAATGGGATCTGTTTGGTTTCAAAAAACTGCGAACTGATCCCATCTCTAGTTCTGTCCTAATAAAAGTCGCCATGATTGAATGCCTTCGTTGTGATATACATCTGCTCTTGTAGTTAGTTACTATGTATAGGGAACTCAAGTAACTAAGTGCAAGAACTCTGCATCAGCTCGACTTCCTGTCCAGAGCTACAGCTAGTCATAGTTGTAAGAAAGATATCGAGTTATTGAATCCACCGCTAGGCAGCATCTCATACAGTAACATAGTTCAATGGTAAGAGTATTCTTTCTTCTGTCGTGTTTGTGTCCGAATAAAAACTTCAGAGATGTCGAAATATTATAAAATTTAATTCCTACCGAATAATTTGATCAGGTGCATATCTAATTTTTTGTTGAAATCGATAAAAAACTATATCACCATGTTCAATATCAGGTGTTTTTTCATATTTTCTAAATAAATTGTTTTTCTTTTTTGATACTCAAAAAAAACTACAAACTCTTACTCTTTTCCACCTTTAGTTATTTCATCATCATCTTCATCTATATCATTTAAATGTTTCGTTTTATTTTTTAATTTCTTTTTTTCATTTAATTTTGCTTCATTAATAATAATTTGTTCATCATCAATAATAATATAATAAAATGGAAAAGATACATTATTAGATAGATCTAATGTTTGTTTATTTAAATTTATTTTTTTCCATTCATTAAAAGCATCTGATGATGCAACAGATGTAGTTTTATTATTAGATTTTGTTTTTCTTTCAACATCTATTTCATCATCATCATCATCGTCATCTTCATCATCACTTGATGGTTTTTCATGTTCATCTTCAATTGTCATTGAATTTAGCATTGTTTCTGGTTCTTTTTTTATTGTTGTTACAATAGAAGATGGTTTTTTATCATTTTTATTATTATCACGATCATCATCATCATCATTACTATTCCATGCATCAGCATCATCACACCAATCAGTAGATGATGATGGGACAGTAGTTGATGATTCAACATCAATTGGATTTGATTCTCGAACAGCTTCATCAAATTTTTGACATCTTATTGCAGTCCAACTAAAAAAAATTACATTTGAAAAAAAAAAACAAAAAAGAAAAGAAAAATAATTAATAAACCTATTTGATGTATTCCAACAAGATGAATTTCGACATGCAAATAGATAAATAGTACGATCATATTTATGACCTTCTAATGGACAATAAAGTTGACAAACAAATATTTGTTCTCTTTGACATTTTGCACAAAGAAGACAATTTTTTAATTTTATTGAAATTTCTTCACTGGGATATGCCTGAATTTTTCAAAATATATATTATTTAGAAAGAAAAAAAAAATCTTTTTGTAATAAATACTCACAGGTTGTCCACCAATTCTTGAAATAGTCCAATTTGATGGATCATCATCATTATCTGTCTTTCCTCCTTTAGGTTCATCAATAAAACCAAGTAAAACCATCTTAAATATAAACATAATAACTATCATATGCAATCATTATGTTGTTTCTTTTGAAAAATATTATTTCAGACACACATGCACATAGTTAGAATAGATGTATGAATACACTCAATCGAACTTTTTACTGTTGCTTTTCTTTTACAAATCAGTCTAACAGTTTTCACAATTACTTACACACATAGAGAAAGAGCAAAAAGAAAAAGAAAAAGAAGAAACAAATCATGGCGAATAAACGAGGACGGAAATAAATAAAGATAATCATTTTATTCACTCGGTTAATTAGAAAAAAAAAAAAGAGAAAATTTTTGTTCTTTTATAAATTAAGTTGGACCAAATAGAGAACTTGTTGAACATACTCCACATACATCCTATACATACGTAATATTTTATAAATATAATAATACAAAAATATTCTTACTGGATTTGTTTCAATACATTTTGCATGAAAAATATGTAAACAAAAGAAGACTGAAATTGGAGGATTAGTATGAATACCTTTAAATAATCTTAATTGAATTATATATGTTTTTTATCAATATAAAAATTTTACCAGGACTGTATACAGGATTATGACATTTAGCACAAAAATCAGTATCTATTTTAAGAAGAGAAAAGTATAAAAAACAAAACAAAATAATGAATTACCTTTGACTAAATAACCACTTTGAAGTAATGTTACTGTCTTTTTTCGTAATGCCAAACAATCATGAACAATTATCTTTCGACAACATTCTGATAGAGACATCTAAGAAATCAATGAAAAATAAATGTTAAAATCTATTGAAATATTATAATGTTAAGATGTTTTTTTGTTTTGTTCAAGAAATTGCCGGAACGTTTATTTCGAATAACCGTTAGATTAAGTGAATTTACTTCTTTTTTTTAAATTCTATATCATAGACGTTTTGTTAAATCTCGATGATACTAGAAAAATTTTATTAATTGATGGAATATACTTTTGATATATTAGGCTCTATAAAATATTTGTATTTGTCATTTTGAGTATCTCTAACAGTATCTGTTTTTTGTTTTGAGCTGTAATTATGTTTACAGATGCAATATAGATCAGACCTCGAAATCGGGCCACTTTTTATGGCCCGACGAATATCCTAGATTCACTCGAAAAAAATTTTGTCTACAAAGATTTTTTTTCTCAATGGCGAGCTATTGCATATTTTTCGTCTTTTAGAAAAAAGTGATGATCGGAAACTTTCCCCTATCCCTTCCTCAGAGGTGAGTCAAATGTCAAAAAAAAGGACCGACTGGTCCGACAGAAAAGGTAGCCGGATCAGATGACCCGTTTTGTGGTCTAATATAGACCTATGATCAATAATAAATCACATACACGGTAATAATCAGTAAAATTTTTCGACAGATATTGCTTAAAACGTTTTGTAGTGTTGTATGATTAATCATAGGGGTATTCATTTAAGTATTTGAACTTCAAAAAAAAACTTTGACTGACCTGCGTCTATTTGCCTACTGTGAAGAAGGATCATTCTTAGGGCCACCCCTCAAAAAACGATCTCAGCCCAGGAACATTCAAATGACATGAAAATTTCAGGATATGCTGGGACTGGTGAGACATGACTATGGTCAAATTTTCAGCCCTATTGCACGATGTTTAACCGAAATATGCACCAACCAAGGGACAAAAATAGCTTTTTTGTATCTCCAAGATTTCTCTGTGGGTCTTCATTCTAAACGTTTAATTTTTTTTGTTTGTTTGAAAGAGTATGTTAGAATGCAGCGACTCTCGTGGCCGTTTTTTTTAAAGTCTTACTTTTTAGGGGAAAAAACCGGAGCAAAAGTTCAATGACTCAAAAAACTTCTCTAAAAATTGCGCTGCTCCGATAGAGATGTTATCTTCTATGATAATAAAAAAGTTTATTTTAAAAAAAGGGCCACGAGAGTCGCTAGCTCTGCACATAAGCTTTCAAACAAAAAAAAAAATATTTGGCTTTATCTCTTACTGTGATGAAGTTCTGCTGGAGATACGTCGTTGAACCCACGTTCTGAGGAAAATGGAAAGTGATTTTTTTTTCTTTTTGTAAAAACCGCTTATTTTTCGAATAGTGAGTGACAAAAATCTTCCAGAATTTTCGGAAAAAAAGAGGTGTTGAGTAAAAGCTTTTGTCATTGATGAAAGAGCATTTGACGAGCTACATCCTCATGAGGTTATCTCAATTTCGATCATTTTGACGAAAAGTGACTTTTTTGACGGGGGGAGGGTGACCTTAAATGAAACACTACTGCTTTTATAACATGTTTGTTAATAAATTTTGGAATTTCTAACAAGAAATTTAAATTCGGATCGAACTCTACCTTTCTTTTGCAGCCGTGATAATGCCCATATGGTTGACTTGCAAATCCTACTATGCATTCCTTTTATTCTGACCCTAGCCAACTCTATACACGTTCTTCTATAAACAAAAATGTTATTGCTAAAAAATTTTCTTATATACAAGAGAAGAAACTCAATCTCAATACCAAGTGTATTCTATGGAACAAAAAGAAAATTTTTTTGTTTTTTATATATGATTTTTGAACGAAAAACTAATCAATCACTGAATCAAAACTACCTGAATATTATAATCTTGCATTATTTTACATAATGAATCACGTAAACCAGGTATTCGTAAATCACTTCTAATTGTATTAATTAATTGTTGTAAATTAATATCACTACCAGCATGATTTAATAAACTTCTTATAAAATCTATAATCAACAAAAAAATATTTTATTTATTTTAAAATATTAATTTTACGAAATTTTCTACCTGGTTTATCAACAGATTGTTCAATTAATGTTGCCCATAATGTTTGATCACCTGTTTCACGACAAAATTTAATAGCTTCTTCAATATCATTTAATTTTTCAAGAATTATTTGTAATGCAACACGTCCATTACCCGCTCGTCCTAGAATTTCATTTGTTTTTGATTAAAAAAAAAATTAAAAAAAATTAAATTCATACCATAAAGAAAAACAGTTTCACGATATAATTGTTTTTTATCACAAATAGCTAATGCTTCTTGTAAATTATAATTTCCAGCTTTACGTAAAAATCCCATTAATTTATTAGGTTCATAATCAGCATAAAGTGATACTTGAAGTGTATGAAAATCACGAGAATCATTAGCATTTTTTGAAAATACAGCATCAAGATACTATAAAAAGATATTAAAATAATGATATTTTTAATTTAATGAAATTATACAAACAGCATGAAGATGTCGAGGATTTTTTTGTAGAACATTATGAACTGATCGAACCTATTTATTTATATAATAACAAAAAAAAAAAAGAAAAGTTAATCGATTTATAATTTTTTGTATACTTACAGGTAATTTATCCATATGATTAATTAACATATCAAGTGTTACCTAAGAAAATAAAAATGTTTTAAATTGAAAACACTCAATGTCACTAATTGACGAGAGAAATCCTTTTCCAACTAATAATTCGCTTTTAAGTCAATGTAGCCTTAAAGAACCTGAGAATATTCTGAAAAGAGTTCACGTCCTTAGCTTATTACTACACTTTTATGGTACTATGTGAATGAATGCAGGAACATTAGAAAAACTGATTTTTTTGAATTTTCACTTGCAACTTTGTATAGAGACAGGTCTTAATGAGAATGATCTCAAGTCTTTTGATTGGCTTCTATCATGAAATAAGAACATCGAATCTGTCGGTTTATATAATCGATGTAAACGACACTCATAGTCGACTCTCTCTAACGAAATTACCGGAGAGTCCCCGAGGAAGTTGTATATCTGAGGATTCCCATAAAACTTCCTGGGGAAGTCTCAAATTTTGGGGATCCCCTCTAAAATTTCATAAATTTGAATTTTTCAGAGAATTCCAATGGTGGCTTCTGGAGAGACTCTGATAATACTCATCAATTCTCTGGGAAATCTCTAGGAAGTCTCTGAATCCTCTCTTAACTCCCCCAGGGATTCCCTCGGGATTCTTCTAGGGACGCTTTTAGCATTGTTGTATCTTAGGATAGGAACAGTGACAAGATCTGAAATAGTCACAAGAACCTATTCTCGTTAAGATCTATTTCTATGTAAAGTTTCAAGTCAAAAATCAGTTTTTCTATTCCTACAGTATTTATTTAAAAAATATCGTAAAAGTGCCATCAGTCAGCAATAATAACCGAAGGGCACGAACTCTTTTGAAATTATACACAGCTCATGTATGTCTACATAATGCATATAGTCTCAATTCAAAAGTGATTTATTAGTTTTGCAGCACTGAAAATTCGTGATAAGTATACGCTTACAAATGACCGCGTATGTTTGACATGGATTTCGAAACTGAATAAATTAGTGACTGATTTTTATTTTGAAAAAGTTTAATTTACATACTGAGTGTTCAAACAGTATTCTATGATTCTATGATAATATTAGAATATCGATTAAAGCTTCATTTATGATGGATAGGGAAAACTTTTCTACTTCATACTGTTCTATATATTCATGATGAATTATGTTTTAGTTTTGGTAGCTAGACGCCACTTCTCAGAACAGTTCAAAAACAATGTGCATGATTTCGTTAAGAACGACCTATCAGATCATCTTCAAAGTCAACTATTTCGATAACAGATCACTCGGATCTTGTTTGGTCATCAACATCTTCGCAAAACCATCCATATCATATTTCAACTGTCCTGAGAGGTGAAGCTCGATCGCCGAAAACATAACGGATTTTAATATCGAAGCGAAAATATTCCTTATTTATCTAAATCATTGGTGAATGACTTTCATTGAAATTCTAATGTTATGGAATTTTGAATATCTCATTGGAGTCTACCTTATACATTAGGTTCGGACTTCAAAATGATTTTCAACTTGGGAAGGTTCGCTTGTCAGTATTTATATAGAGAGAAAATTTCTTCGAGCTTTCTTAATATTCAAATTTTTATCTTTTGTAAATTTACATTTTTATTAATTGACATGAGTGTTTCAATATGTGGAAGAATTTCTCCATGAAGTTTTTTTCGTTCAATCAATTGAAATATTTGAATATTGCCCATTCTAAAATAACACATAGTCAATTATTCATAGATATATATTCATAACTAATATACTTTAAATAAATATCTAATGTTTTCGTTACATTTCCTTGTTTTTCCGCTCTATAAATAAAATAATTGAAGTTATTAACGAATAAAAAAAATTTTTTGTTTTTTTTTTACATAATTGCTGAACATTCGAGTAATGCTTTAGCTGGATGTTCATCATCCATTTGTAAACGAATTAATTGATCAATCGAAGTTAAATTATAAATATCTGATGGCCATTTCATTAATAAATCTTTTAATTTCTATATATAAAAATAATATTTTATTTAATATATCAAATATTTATTAATTTACTTCATATTTTTTCTGCATTAAATATGTTTGAAGTACTTTTTCATAAATTATTGCATCAAGTTTAAGTGTACTTGTTGGAATATAAGGTGTTATGATCTAAATAAAAATAATTTTTAATTTTTTTTTTTATTATAATTTGACTTACATCAAGTTCATTTCGTTGAATAAATGTAAGAATTTGTTCAGTCCATTCTTGTGGTGTTGTATAAACAGAAGGAAATAATTTAACAGCTTTTTCTGTTTCATTAGTATCCATTAAAGATTTGACATATGCTCGATATACACTCTTTATATAGAAGTAAAAATTTAATAAATATTATTTTTAACTTCTTTTTTTTGAATATTACTTGTTGAGTATATCGTTTTGGTCTTTCATTAGCATTTGGACGTTTTTCAAAAGCTTCTATTGCTTCATCAAATTTTTTTTTATTAATTAAATATTCAATATGATCATCATAATCACGACGTTCAGCTTTAACAATATCATATGGACTTAGAATAAAAAAACAATGTTCATCTTGTAAATATTCTATTTGTAAAAAAAAACAAAAAAAAAAAAAAGATAATAATTAAACGAAAAAAAAATAAAAATTCTTAAAAAGAATTTTACCAAGTTGAAATTGAAATGGTGACGTTCTGTCATCACAATACATACGAAATGGATCATGAGCTTTTTCTTCATATGTTTTACCTTTTGATATTAATACAGTTAATGATGGTTCAGATGTACCATTCTAAATAAAAGAAAAAAAATCAATAATACAAAAACAAAAGAAAACAAATAATTACAGAAATACTAAAATCTTCAATACCAAATATAACCAAATCACGATTGACAGATGTTAAGCCACATGCAAAAAATTCAATTTTGAATGCCGTAGCTAAAAAAAAATACGATACAAAATAAACGACAAAACTTTTGACATGATACGTGCAGCCAGAACTATGGTCTACACAAGCAGGTTCTTTTTCCAGACATCCAATTTTTCGGAAAACTCGCATTTTCGAATTTTGATATGAAAATTTATGTACATAAAGAACTCAACTAGACTAGGTTTCATTAAAAAAAAAATTCAGAAATTTTGAACAAAGTCTCTTCAAGATATAAAGCTTTCAAACAATACATATCTACGGAAAAGAGTCTATATCTTCAAAATCTCATATGTCGAAGAAACTTTGTTTAACACTATATAATATCTATAGACAAAATATCATTGAAATTGGAAGAAGATAGTTGAAAAAATTTCGACATCTTATTGAAGATGGACCAGTACATCTATTTTTTCTCCAATAGGCAAAGATTTAAGACACTTGTAGTAATTTTTCGTTATTGAATAATAAGCAAAATTTCTTTTACTTTTAATAACTGTAATAGTAGAATGTCGCAAGTTTTGATTTTCAAGAAGACTGTAAGAAAGTGTGGATTCGATATTATGCAAAACTCTGGGTTTTCTCTTCAGAAATCACTAATTTAAAATAATATGTTAGGTTTTAATTCGTATCATAATAATAACTAAGAAAATTAAATATCAATATTTTTTGAAACGTTGTGCATTTTGTAGAGCACAGTTTATTCTATCGAATGGTACCTTGCGTACTCTTCTACAATGCAATGCTAAATGCCGATTTGTGTACAGAATGAGAAAACAATAGTTGACAATCATCGCTGAACATACAGTTCAAATTTAAGAAACTTATATTTCATCAACGAGACATTGTAGAAGAGTACGCGCAAGACATCGTTCAATAGAACAAATTCTGTACTAGAAAACGCACTACATTTTGAAATTTTCAGGCTCATAACATCTTGGAGGTGTACAAGAATTTTTTTTGCCATTACGGTCTGATGATAACTTTTGCTCTACTCGTCAAGATTAGAAGAATTTACAGAAAAAAAAAACTAACTACATTCCTCATTTCAGAGTTGGGCAAGTCAAGTCAAGTCAAGTCAGAGGCATTGGAAAATTTTTTCAAGTCAAGTCTGACTTGACTTGAATTGCCCAGTTCTGCCTCATTTGCTGTTTTCTGATTACGTAAATTTTCCAAACCTGTATTCATATGTTTTTTAGGTGCAGATGATTGATGTTCATGATTGGTTTCAGTTGCAATCGATAGTATTTTAATAGTTTTTGCACATGCAATAGCTAATGTTGTTGGATCATTCCATGATATTCGACTTGGATAAACACCACGTGGAAGACTAAATAAAAACATAATTGAATATTTTTGTTTTCTCTATAATATAAAGAAAAATATCATACTCTTTTTGACCATCAGTTTCTTCAAATCCAACTAATCGTCGTGCACGTAAATCATAAACACCAACACCCTTTTATTTTTTTTTTTTTAAAGATAAAAATAAAATTTTTTTTTTTGTTTTCCAAAAATAATAAATAAATACTTTATCATTAGCAAATGCAATTAATGTTTCTTTCCAACGAAGTGTATGAATAAGACCACCATTTAATTCAAATAATATTGTTGTTTTATGTCGACTAAAAGTACCTCGTTCATTTAAGATAAGCTATTAAAAAAAGGAAAATTTTAATAGATTTTTTAATTAAAAAAAAAGATCGAGTTAACATACAGATGTATCACCTGTGACAAACATTTTTGTTTTAGAAAAATTTGGATCAAGACAAACAGCTCTAATTGGACGACTAAATGTGATTAATTGATCATCATTTTTACTCAATAAACCAGATATTTTAACCTGAATTAAAACTAAATTTTTTATTTTTGATTAATGAAAAAATTTCTTTACTTTTCCTTCTTGACAACAACTACCAATAAACTCTCCACTATCATCAATTGATATTGCATTTACTGGATAGGTATGCTAAAAAAAGTAGTCTTATTTTTCCAAATAATAATATTCAATTGAAGATTTATTGCAAAAAAGAAAAAGTTCCTTTTTTTTTTTTGGATTATAAAATTATGTCTAGTTTCACTTCTATGTAATATATTGAATTACCGCTTTAATTTGATATTGTGGTATAATATTTCCAAGATGATCTGTAATTAAGATTTCACCTGTTGGTTTTCCAATAACAAGAAATTTTTCATGTACAGCAATACAACTAAATTCAGCTGATATATTTTTATCATCATCATTAGTTTTTCGAAGTCCAGATGCGATTGCTATTGTAGAAAATTTAAATACTGGTTCATCATCATCTTCTTCTTCTTCTTCATCATTTTCTTTATTTCCTACATTATTATTCGTATCAGGAGACATTATTTATCTATATTCAACCAAATACAAATACAAAAAAAAAATGAAAAATATATTTTTCTAATTTTAATTATTCACTACGTCAGATGGATATTTTTTTATTTGTTATTTAGATTTAACCAATGATAATAAATGAAAAGCTACATCTATCGGTTGGTTTTCTTTATCCAATCGTTTTCAATGAGAATAGATTGATATTATTATTTACATATTTCTCTCAATGATGATTTTAATCACGAAGAGCAATAAGATAGTACATTAACATTCTCAACAATGGAGGAAATAACACAAGAAATTCTTATTGATGATATGACTAATGAAAATTGTGTAAGAACTATTGAAAATACAGTAATTAAATTAAATGGAATTCAATCAATTAAAGTATTAAGAAAAAAAAAAAAACGAGGAAATTTTATCTATAAGTTAAAATAAAAATTTCAACTTTTTTTTCAGGTTTCATTTGAAGATAAATTAGGAACTATTGTTTATAATTCAAATATTATTGATATAAATAAAATTCTTAAATATATTAAAGATTTGGGTTTTAATGCTGAACTTAAACAATCAATAAAAAATGATAAACTTGATGTTGAACTTGGTGGAATATCTGATGAAAATATTCCTATTGCTATTGAACGTATATCATCAATAAAAGGAATTTTAAATGTTATTTTTCCTTTAAAAAATGATAGTATTCATGTAGAAATAATTTATGATAAAAATCAAATAGATCCTTATACACTTTATCAAAAAATACAATCAATTGGTTATAAAGTAAATCCAAAATTAGAAAATATTTCTCAAGCATATTTACGTATACAAGGAATGCATTGTAATTCATGTGTTATGAATATAACACAAACAATTGAAGATTTACCTGGTGTACATCATATTAAAGTATCATTTGATGATCAATCAGCTAATGTTTTATATGATTCAAATATAATTAAAGTATCAAATATTATCAAAGAAATTGAAAAATTAGATTTTCAAGTTGCAATTTCAACAACAAATGATGAAGACAAATCAAAAGGTATTTTGATTGAGATATTAAGAGAAAGAAAGAAAGAAAGAAACATTTTATATTTAGATTATATCAATAATCCGGGTACACCAATATTATCAGGTTAGATATGAAAATATTTTTATAACCAAAAATAGTATCACATTTACCTATGTACTGTCAATATGTAGATGGTTATCTCAAATTTATTTAACATAGAATATTTCAACTAATCCTGGATTAGTTTTCAATGATACTAGAATTGAGAAGCGAATAAATTTAAACATATAATTATGCAATATCAATGAAATTTGTAGAAGCATTTTATAATCGTTCTATGAAACATAATACTATACATTTGTAGCAATAAAAAATAGATTTTTTTTTTCTGTTAAAATTAAATTCGTGTATAACGATTGACGTTGATGAATATCAGCTCATTATCCAATATTGAATTTTGCGTTAAATATATTGTTTAATCCGAGTTTAATGATAGATGAGCATACTGTTCATACAATCTTTTATCTTCTATAAAACAATAAAATAATAATAATTTGTTACATTCATCATAATCAAATAGAAATTTCCGTAAACAAACTAAACAATTAGCATGAATTATAAGAAAACAAAAGAAAAAAGTAATGCATATTGACTCAAAAGTATGAATTGACTTAACTGATAAACTCATGTCGTTATATCTTATGAAGATAAATATTAATGTTTGCTTAACAATGACATCAGCATTTCTTTCTGTAAAACACCATCTAAAAGAAGTGTTAAAGTATAAAGGTGGAAACGTAGACTCCACTTACAAAATATGACAAACATCCTTAGCAACATCCCTTCTTCATCAAAGCAATGATCGATATGTCTAAAATAGAATCACAGATTTTCTATCAATAATATCTCGTTATAACAAATGAAATATATTTCTGAAAGACTAACTAAAAAGATAATGAAGAGATATGTCTCAAAATAGATTGAATGATTAAATGCAGATTGCTGATAGGTTTTTGACTCATCAAGGAAAAATTTTTACAAAGAGCGTACGGAGACAAAAATGGTTGCATAGTAGAATCAAGATAAGATTTATTATGTAACAAAAAAAAAATCCTTAATAAAACATAAGACTATCTAACAGGTTTTAGGTGGAGTGTAAATGTGTCTAAAATGAAGATCCACACTCTACAATTTACTCATAAATCAAGTTACCTGTATCAATCTTCTTACCATATCTATTTTCGAATATTTTCATAATGTCGCCATATTATTGTCTCTCCCTTGATGTTATTCTGCGGACAGTTTTTGTGATTAGTAACAGCTTTTTTGTTCAAAAGGAATGTTTTATAACGTGATTTTAAATCAAGAATTCCTATGAACAATATTTGAAAAAAAAGTTCATTTTTTGTAAAGGTAAAACAACTCATCACTTAAACTCAAAAATGAAAATATCATCAACGAATATAAATGACGATGCAGAAACTTGTTTTGTAAGCATAACTGGAATGACATGTGCTAGTTGTGTTGATTCAATACAACGAAATCTATCTAAAGTTGAAGGTAATATAGGAAAAAAAACTTTTTTTTTTTCTTAAATTTAAATTTTATTTATTTATAGGTATTCAGTCAGTTTGTGTTGCACTTTTATCACATAAAGCTGAAATAAAATATAATCCTGAATATATCATTCCATCTCAAATTGTTTATTTAATAAATGAACTTGGATTTCGTGCTGAAATACTTGATACAATGGAACATGGTGTAGATTTTATTGATTTACATGTATAAAAATGAATTTGAAAATAAGAATTAATTTTTTGTTTTTTTTTATTAGATTGAAAATATGACATGTTCATCTTGTGTACGAAAAATTGAAACATCTATTGGAAAATTACCTGGAATATATAGTGCTGAAGTAGCATTACTTACTAATCGTGGTAGATTTAAATATGATTCTTCAAAAATAGGTCCAAGAGATATTATTCATGAACTTGATGTAAGAAGAATTATTTAGATGTAATCATTCATAAAAAAGAACTTTTGTTTTCTATTTTAGTCCATAGGTTTTCCTGCTGTATTAGTTAATGAAGATTCTAAAGCAGTCAATTTAGCAAAAATTCATCGTCGAGAAACTCGAAGGTAGTTTATTTGATTGTGTATTTCATCATGAAAAACTGAGATACTCAGCCCAGCTTCGGAGCCAGGGTTGGGATCTGGTTGCGAAAGAGGATACTACTTCAATGGTTGCCTGTACATTTCAAGAAATGCTTGAGCAATTACCCCAAATATTCAACACTGTCTGAAGTGGTTTGATAGTTTTCGAACACAAAGCCAAAGTTCAAATTCGGTGTATGTCTAATCTAGAGAGATACTATAGGTATCATCTTAGAATACTACCAATAGTTTCATTTTTACAATTGCCAAAAAATTGATATCGTCGAAATGATCGATTGTCAAATTTCAATGAAATATATATTGATTATTTATTTTTTGATTCTAAAAATGTTTTTATTTTTGCTATGTTTAATCGCAGATGGCGTAATTCATTTTTACTTGCTGCAATTTTTGGTATTCCAGCAATGATAATTATGATGATATTTATGCTTAAATGGAAAGATCATCAACAAGCACCACAAGTTATACGTGGTTTATCTTTAGAAAATCTTATTATGTTTCTTTTATCAACACCAGTACAAGTAAATATTTTCTTTGTAAATTTTTTTATTTTAAATTTTCATTTATTAATAGATGATTAGTGGTCGTTATTTTTATATTCAAGCATTTAAAGCATTAAAACATCATTCAGCTAATATGGATGTTTTAATTGTTATGGCAACAACAACAGCATATGTTTATTCATGTTTTGTAGTTTTATTTAATATTATGAAAGGTCTTCCAAGTCCAATTACATTTTTTGATGTACCACCAATGCTTATGATGTTTGTTTCACTTGGTAGATGGCTTGAACATATAGCTAAGGTTTGTTAGAAAGAAAAATAAATATTTATTAAAATAATAAAAATGTCTTATAAACGATTACTATAATATTGTTTCTTCTCTTTTCATAACAAATTATTATTAAAAAAAAGAAAACGTTTTATTTAATTTAAATTAAATTAATAATTTCTATTTAGGGAAAAACATCTGATGCTCTAACAAAATTATTATCATTACAACCTCCACAAGGAATATTAGTTCGTTTAGATGAAGATACGGGTACAATTATTGAAGAAAAAATTATTCTTGCAAAACTTATTCAACGTAATGATATATTAAAAGTTTTACCAGGTGGAACAATTCCTACTGATGGTCGAATTATTCAAGGTACATCAACATGTGATGAATCATTAATAACTGGTGAAGCAATGCCAGTTGAAAAAACTATGGGTTCACAAGTTGTTGGTGGAACAAAAAATTTAAATGGAATGTTATTAATACGTGCAACACATGTTGGTCATGAAACAGCACTTAAACAAATAATTAAATTAGTTGAAGGAGCACAAACATCAAAAGCACCTATACAAGCATTAGCTGATAAAATTGCTGGTTATTTTGTACCTATTATTGTTGCTTTTTCTGGTATTACATTAATCGTTTGGATTATTATTGGTTATACTCATTTTAATCAAATAGAAAAATATTCAATGGTTGGAATTTTTTTTTCTCTTTAATATGATTTATTTATTGAATTTGTCTTTTCTTCTTTTTAGTATCATCATTCTATGATGGGACATCATGAAGGAACAGAACCAAGTCAAATGGAAGTTGTACTTGAATTAGCTTTTCGTTTTGCTATTACAGTTCTTTCAATTGCTTGTCCTTGTGCTCTTGGACTTGCAACACCAACAGCTGTTATGGTTGGTACTGGTAAGTTCAATTTTGAACTGATAATTTAAGATAAATAATATTATTTAAAGATATCCGTTCTGTTTTCGTTAACTGTTTCTAGTTCTCGAAAATAATATAATCGATCAAGCTGAAATTATCTTTACATATTTCTTTCATAAAAAAACTGCAATTGAGATTTTTGAAAAAGTTTAAAATTATCTCTGAGATATAATTTTAGGTAGTTTAAAAAAATTTTCAGCCCAATTGAATAAAGTTGGGTGAGGGTCATAATGTATCAGAATGCGTTCCTCTGACAATCAGAATTCTCCAGTAAAAACTACAAGAATTAACTTCAAAATTTTTTTTCTCGAATATGTGTCTCTTTATTTTTGATGCTCTATCTATGGTAAAAATGTCTGTTTAATGGACTGTAACGTCTTCAGGAACGAGAAATGATCAAAAAAGATGGAGGAGATATCCTTAACAGTCAATCATACATACATTAGACATGCAACATGAGTCAGATTTTTGTCACTCGATCCGACTCTGCCTGAGTCCTTTATAACACAATTGAACAGACAATGGATTTGCTATGTCTTGTTATTCGATGTTAATAAAGAAAAGAAAATGCGACACATAACCTCTTATTCTTCTACACCTTAATTTATTTTGATTTAAATAAACTACTAATTATTTGTGTTAAAAAAAAATATGAATTTATTTTTTTGCTTCATAGGTGTTGGTGCTTCTCAAGGAATTCTTGTTAAAGGTGGTGAACCATTAGAAACTGCACAAAAAATTCGTACAATTGTTTTTGATAAAACAGGTACAATAACACAAGGTAAACCAACAGTTGTTGATATACGTTTATTTCTTCCCAATGATACTTATTGGACATTAAAACGAATGTTAGCAATAGCTGGTACAGCTGAAAGTGGTTCTGAACATCCATTAGGTAAAGCTATACGAACATATTGTAAAGATTTTTTTGATTGTGAACAATTTGGTCATTGTGAAGATTTTAATGCTATATGGGGTTATGGTTTAAGTGTAAAAGTAAATGGACTTGAAAATTTAATAAATAAAAATAATGAATTTAATAATAATGTATCATTAAATGATAAAGAATATTTTGTTTTAATTGGAAATCGTGAATGGATGGAAAGAAATAATATGCATGTAACGAATGAAATTGATTCAGCAATGTCAAAACATGAACATGATGGAAATACTGCTGTATTGGTTGCTGTTGATAGTAAAGAATTATTGAAATTTTATTTTATCTTAAATTCTTTATTTTAGATATAATTATTAGTATGATTGCAATAGCTGATCCTATAAAACCTACAGCACCATTGACAATTTTTGCTCTACAATCAATGGGTCTTGATATTTTACTTGTTACTGGTGATAATATTAAAACTGCTCGTGCTGTAGCTGCACAAGTTGGTATAAAAAATGTTTATGCTGAAGTATTACCAACTCAAAAAGAACGTTTTATTGCAACATTAAAAGAAAATAGTCGTAAAGGTGATAAAGTAGCAATGGTTGGTGATGGTGTAAATGATTCACCAGCATTAGCTCGTGCTGATATTGGTATTGCTGTTGGTACAGGAGCTGATGTTGCTGTTGAAGCAGCAAATATTGTTTTAATACGTGATGCACTTGAAGATGTTCTTGCTGCAATACTTTTATCAAAAAAAACAGTACGAAGAATAAGATTTAATTTTTTATTTGCTATTATTTATAATCTTATTGGTATACCAATTGCTGCTGGAGCTTTATTACCAATTGGTATATCATTAACACCATGGATGGCATCAGCTGCTATGGCTTTATCATCAGTTAGTGTTGTTATGTCATCATTATTATTAAAAAGATATCATAAACCAGATATAAATATGTATAATAATCATGAATTTAATTTATGGTCAATTAATAAAAGTAAAAATATAAATGTTCATCGTGGAATTGATGATCTTGAACGAACACCTAATGGTTCATTTATTTCAAGTTTACGTGGTAGTCGTTTAGCACAGATTTTATCTGGTGCTGTATCAGCTGTAAAACAGCAAGCATCACATTCATTATATGGTAAACAAAAATCAACATTATTACTTAATGCAAATTCACTTGATGATGAAATGGAATTGCATGTGATACCATGAAAATAGTTGTCAAAAAAAAAGAATATCCAAAGTCTTTGCTCTTGTTAATGCACTGATTATCTTGTGTTTGTTGTGCATCACTTTATTTTGTACATTAATTTATATCACATATATATCAGACAGATAAAACTTCTTATTTATTGAAATATTACTCATTTTATATGTGTATATTAGTGTCATCAAAAAAATAAAATCTATATAAAAAACAAAAGTAATAATAGATATTTGCTCGTAAAATCAATTTTTGTTCGTTCATCTTGAATGAACTGATGTGAAAGTAACTATTATCCTACTCATGATAGAAGAACTATATCTTCCATTACATTTCAAGGTATGTACTTTACAAAAGAAACTTCTATTTTAGTGGTATAATGATAACAACAACTTTTATCGTAGGCATCCAACACTGATAGTTGTCATAAGATGATTAATTATATTTATAGTCAAAAACACTATTCTGGTGAAAATTGTTCTGCATTCAATAGAGTTCACTATAAAAATAACGATGATCACTATTTCTCCAAAGTTCAAAGAATAATTTACCTATTTATATGTTAATGACGAATTCAGGAGGCGACGAGTGCTACTCTCTTTGAAATTTATGTATAGCATATGCTAAGTATCTTTATATTTCTATGAGTCCAAATATTCTTTCTCTTATTAGACATGAATTTTTTCCCTCTCACATAATTGAGGAGTACCTGTTAAGTTTAACATTGAAATAATTAACTGTCACTGGTAAAATCATAGCTTCAGACTAACATGGATGAAAATTTTCTAAATGGACTAGCTACAATATACATTGTACAAAAAAAAAGAACGATGTTCTTTCGCTAACGAAAGTAAATGTTGATTGAAGAAGTGAAATGATATCATTTGGAGTTATGAGGCATGTTTTGAAATATTTAATCGTAAAAACAGTATATTCTTTTGACGCTTAGAAGCTGAAACTAATGAACGGAACCGTGAAATAAAAGCTGGTAGAACCGAAACCAAACTTTTTCTTGAGGGTGAGAGTTTCAAGATGTGCGGATGTTGCAAGATGCGCATTATATTAGTACCTTCCTTCATCTGTTCATGAAGAGTTTTCGTAGTAATCCTGCTTTTTAAGGAAAAGCTCTTAAGTTAGTTAAAACGAAAATTATTAAACGGCAATGAACAATACTACCTACTACATTTACAACGACTACTCTACCATCTGTCCATATAGATTCACTTGATTCTCAATCGATAACATCAAAAGGTCTTCTTGCATACTGTTTTAATATACTATAAAATTCCATAATATTGTCAACAACGGATGAGTTAGATGAATATATGCCATCAAATGTCCTATTTAGTGAACATGATGATGTTTTATAATCCCGTGACAACAGAATTTAACATTAACGATCTAATTTTCTATAGCTCAAGATTTTTATGCTGTATAAGCATCGAACAACATTGTAGAAAGACTTTTCTCGTCTGCAGAAAACACAAGTATCGATAAACGCATCAATCTTGGTACAAAAAATACCCCTATTATTATTTTTTCAGAAAAATTTAGCATTATCAAAAATCATGTGGTAAAAAAAAATTGATAAATTTGATACAACTGAAATGAAAAGAAAGATGGTTGAACAGTCATCTTCTACAATCTCCTGTCCCAACTAAATAACAATATATTGCTACAACAATAAGAAGACGTTTAGAATGAGTAACGAAGATGATATTGTTCTTTGTGATCATGATCACGTAGAGGATTAGGAAATGATGAAGTCGATATTTTTAGACCTTGTATACTATAAATATTTTATATGAACATATTGTATATGAATGTTTTATATCATTCTTTGAGTTTTCTTTTATCCTTTGAAGTAGCTACTTATTTGATGAAGTAATAAACACGAAGAGTTCCGAAGATAAAATGTAGAAATTTCTAAAAAAATCCAATGACCCGGTATTTTGTATGTTACGGTAAAATCATCGGTTCCTTTTTTGGTTACGAAAAAATTTTAGGAACAGAAAAAGGAACCGGTTTTTTTCGGTTTCGCGAACCAGAACCGCAGGGCTCTAGGAGAGCCGCAAAAACTTCGATTTAAAACTTACATTCACTAAATCCTTCGAAAACATACATGAATTCCACAAAATAATTAAATGAGAACTTGGTTGTAATTGCAGATGATGAAAATGTATTAATGAGAAACGAATAGTGATCTCGTAAAAAGTATGAGTGAAGTAATCAACATTTTTTAAAATTTTTACAGTACTTGTGACAGTCCATTTTACCTAAAATTGTTTTCAATAAAAATGATTTTACATGTCAGTTATAAATATGAACTATTTTCTATTTACCTTATGAGAAATAGCTGGAGAACACACGTGTTCAATGTTGATAGTCTATTAAAGTTTTAAAAATAGCTATAAAGATTTCATCTTGTCATCCGAGTAAAAACATTGAATGGTATATATTTTGAAAAAAAATTATCAACATTTTGTCATATTCCTGTGCAAAATGACATCAAAGAGACGGCATATCGCAAAAAGTTCTGCCACAACCGATAAAATTGACACTAAAAAGATCATTTTGATAAGTGGCAAATAGAATTTCGAGAAAAAAGTGGTTTCATTCGTTGTACAAATATCAAATTGTATAGGTTGTCTCTAGTATTCTGCGTGACCGTCACGATCATGATCACTACACCCACACCCACATTCTTCAATTTTATTAGTAGAGTAGAAATATTTTTCTAAAAAGAAAACGTTTCATGGAATAGTAATCACTAGTGTCATTATGTCAAGAATCGTCTGACATCGACCACGTCCCCACATCATCACATAAGGCATTGTACGAATCAGAAACATGAGAAATGGTGAATCTGCAATATCGCACCGTTCAATTTTCATTTCAATACTAAAGTTTGATGTTGAAGGGAATGACTGCACAGTGACGATCGTCTCTGTTCTTGGCTTTAGTGATGAGTTCTGTACAATCAAATTGGCTACAGTTGTCGAAGAAACTCTAATCTGATAAGACAGAACATGTCGAAATATCAATGTGTAATTCATAGTCTTCGTTATTGATGTTAATTCGACTTCTTTGATAGCGATGGTACGATTGAATGTATCATCAAATGTGCAATTAGTTGGTTTTGTACACTGTCGATTGACTACTGACTGGCCTGTTTTAGTTGAAAACTCGTCGAGAATCGACGATAGACCAATATTATCAAATGATGCGAGTGTAATCGATGCTGAACGGGAAATGAGTGGAACGAAAGCAGGTAGATTGGTAGGAGTCTCGATTCGATAGATCGATTGTGATACATGTTGCACAGTGACAATTTTCGGGTGTGTACTGGTGAATGGATGGCGTGTACAAGCAATAATGAAGATGATGAGAAAAGTGAAGACAAGCAAAATTAATGTTCGACCAAAATACATTGTTCGTTGCATGTTCGGAATAAAGATAAGGAAGAATAGGGCAGCTAGAAGAGCTATGAGAACACTGATCACAACATCGTGTGGTACAGGTACTGTTTGAAACATGCGACCCATCATCGGAATTGTCATACGAAGAAGACGACTTGTCATTTCGAATGAATGAATGAGTGGTAATAGCGAGGTAATGTAAGGTGCAAACGTCCAATACCATCGTTGTTCGCCGAAAAACTGTGGTACTTGATAATGGATCCAACGAAAACCGAATTCAGTCAGTATCAATAGTAGATAAATTGGACAGACAAAAATTGACCAGATAAGAATGATATAGAGAGAACGATAACCGAGACAGATAGAAATGATCATAAGGATAGTATAGACAAGAAGTAATGCAAAATGTCGCTCGAAATCGAAGCTACGTCGATTCACTGGATCCATATCGATTGGTTTCATATGAATTGAGTCTTTTTTTGGCCATTTTGATAGAATCCATCGATAACATACTGTCCAGAGTGCTTCCGCAGAAATCATACCAATCAAACATGGAAGACCAAAAAGAAAGAAGGCCAAAGTTGAATTACCAAACCATGACAGAGGTCGAATCTTCGATATGAGAAATGCAATGACAACGGGAAGTAGAATGCCGACAATTATTGAAAGTAGAGAAGATATGACGAATATGAAAATGAACATGATTCGCATGATGATGGCATAATTGAAGTAGAAGTAGATAGAAAGAGAATCGTCTGATGAAGGATGTCGTTGTTGCCAGAGATGATCGAGTACAATCATCAGAATACCAACGAGAAAAACTAATCCGATAAGAATAGCTTGCACGATGATCGATGTAGACATTTTATAAGTAATCAGATATCGACCGACCAGATCAAAATAGACGAGATTATCGTCATCTACGATGTTATATGACTGTTGAAGATCGATACGACCGAGAAGGATCTCACGGGATAGAGCAAGTGTATTCTCGCCTAGATGCTGCAGAGCACCTTCTTCAACAGTTGATGGTCGATCGAGTAATGTATGATAACTGTAACCATCGAGGTAGAATGCAAAATCGTATCCGGACAATGAACCTCTCGTGGCAAATTCGCTGTAATCTGTGTCCCTTCCGAGCAAATCCAGAACTTCATTTCCTATGACATTGGCATGAGGTCTTGGTACTCTTGCATAGTCGATAACAATCTATGAAGATTTTTTTGAACGATAAAAGAAGAGCAATAGAGAAGAGATATAGACAGACCTGTGATGGTTTGACACGAAAAAGAATGGCTTTGCCGTTGCCACCAGTTGAATCAATATTGATAAATCGTCGAACGCTTGTTTTCCAGGTATGATTACTGATGAATGCTGCAGCGCCTCTCAAACCAAGTTCTTCAGCACTGGTGAATAAGACAATGAGATGTACTTGATCGAATGTGATGATGGGATCATTGACCAGATTCGAGAAAACTTCCAGAAGAGTAACAACGCCTGAACCGTCGTCACTACCGCCTGAACTGAATTCCACTATACACATGCAAGATAAAATAGAAAAATCTTTTTTCAATCGTATTCCTCTTTAAAAATACCAGAGTCATAATGAGCAGCTAGCATAAGGCATGGTGTATCTGGTCGTGATGATGGATTCGAAATACGAACAGCAATATTTTGCAACTGATCAATATCATGGGTCGTGAAATTTTGTAGACTGAGATCGAATTGAACATCGGCCATTGCTGTAGAAAGGATTCGATGAATTTGTGAAATGAGAAAATCACGCGTGAGATAATCAACGCGAGTATTGATCACTCGTGGTCCATGTTGAGTCAGATTGGAATAGTAATCACGAGCGCGTTGTTCACTGAAAAAATGCGAAGCAATTGTGCGTGGTCTTACCGATGGTAATGCATAGGACAATTTGAGTGCCAGTGGGCTGGCAACAAGAAGGAGACAACCGAAGAGAATAACCCATAGAGCAAGTGATTGGTACAAATTCGTTTGATTGTTCGATTTGATTAACCTATGAAGACGATAGAATTCAGAATAAAATAATGGAATAATTATTTCTCTGTATGATTAGAACAAGAGTGCTGAATGAAACAATAATCGATAAGATGTGAACGATGAAATGGCGTACCTTTGTAAAGCTTTGAAAGCTATAGTTTTACTCATCCAGATGCAATTATTCGTCGTTCTTATCGGAAGAATCAAGTCTGATTAACGTAATGTATTATAGATGTTTTTGTTGGCTTGCGGTGATGCTTATACAGCGTGTAAATGAAATGTATGCATATAGCTTATCGTAAGGTCATAAAATTTATATGATCCTCCTGTTTCTTCTCGTTTGCGCTATGCAATTAAGGTAATTTTATAGTATAACAGTCAATAAACAAGTACATTTATTAATTCGACTGCAGTTTCGAGAGCACACTTTTTGCTATATAGAGTCTACACAGATTGACGTCATTTTGTTGAATCCCTTGATCGATCTCGATTCTCTACATCGAAAGACATATTTCTAGCAATCTCAAGACTTCCATTATGATAATTATATACTCATAAGTTTATTTTATTTTCATTGTCCTTTGAAAAGGTTTGATGCATATTTCCCATTTTATAAACGACAAAATTTTCTCGCCCGCTTTAATGAGAAAATAGTTTCATCAACAAATATTGTTAGAAATATTCAAATCAGAAGTATTTACATTACAATTCAATATTCTTATAGGACAAATACATTGCTATAATGATATTTTCGCGTGTTCCTATTTTTATTTTGTAACGTGAGCACGAATTCACCTTCATCACAATCTTGTGTGGCAATTTATCTTAAGGATGTGAGGTGTGGGTGAAGAGAAGATTCAACAAGGAATGAGCTACAGTGTGATATTAATTTGCCAAAGGGTATCCTGTATTATTAGTGTCTCGATCAACCAATTATTTCATTTTCTACGCAAGTGCTTTAACAATGGGATACGAGATGATGTCACTAGCAATGGAGATGTTTGTGCTGTTAGTGAAAAAGACTAGATGTATTCAGATCGAAATAAAGCTCTCACCGCCAAACTAACAAATTTTAAATATTAGTAGCTCTTCGCGTGTCTGGA